TCTAAATACATTGCTGGAATATATCAGGGAATTTCGCAAACAATTTTATATTTTATAAAGTGTGAATACATCTGCAAAAGCGCTTGCGGTTGGTTATTTTCTATATCTCTAACGAGCGGTGTCTCATTTAGGCTCCACTTTCGACCATTATTTTTCTGCTCCACTGACTGCGCACCGTATGTGCTTCTCTCCAATATTGTTCGTTAATTGCCCTTCTTTCGGCACCACCTGTCGTCACGATATCGTCATTGCACTATTTAGTGTATTCGCGGTCGCGGTATTATAATGAGCCGCCCTATTAACACATTTTTGCTGCTAGGAATGGTTATTTTTCTTAGTACCTATATAATCCTAAAACAATACGCATATATATATTGATTTTGCTGTCACGGTAGAAAAAAGTTTGAAAGACTGCTTCAACCGGTAATCATTCATCTATTATTTACGCAACTACCTTTATTATGATTTTATATTTCCAGAAACTTTTTTCACATCATGGGTTGGCTAGTTCATCATCCTGGCATCGAATGTAGGATATAGTGTCGGTATAAAACCTTAGACTTAAAAACCTCAGAATGGCCATCTTTAACCGTGAATCCAGCCTCAATATCCATCAGACTGTGTGATTCGGTCGACCATCACAGCGATTTGTCCACTGAACACGAAAAATCGCTCGGATGATCACTTCTTATAGCGACGCTTCTCATGTTATTTATGCTTAATAAAACACGCTCATTAATCTGACATGGTCTTCTGAACCGTTCCGTACGCTGATCTTTTTATAGCGCATTTCTCATTTATGGAAAAACGCACTATTATGCTCGCCATGTCCGTCTGTCTGTCCGTCCGTCTGTCCGTCCGTCTGTCCGTCCGTTTGTCTGTCTGTCCGTGACTTCACGTTTTCGTCGACGAGAAAATGCGCTCTCTGTCACTCACTGCAGTGAGTACTCAGTTATTTTCACATTCACCCGCTCACCACTTACACGCCTGGCGAAGTATGCGCTCAATCGTGTGTCCTCGATCGTTTAGAGATGAGCGTGACTGTACGCGTACGGAAAGCGTTGCGAGCTGAAGATGTACAAATGACGACAGCATGTCATCATCATTTGTGCGCACGCTGTACCGGGCTGTCACGAATCACACGTTAGTATTTGCTCATATATTATCATCGTCAAAAAAGGTTTGGATTTTTTGGTTAATACACCAGCCGAAAATTTACTATACAGAAGAAACCTCAGTAAATTCATCTTCTAGAGACATGCTCATGAATTGTTCGTGGTATGATGAAGTGCTCGGTGAGATCCCATAGTCCAAAATTGAAAGTCTAGCTATCAGTTCTTCGTGTCGAACAAATTTTCGAATTCACACGTCTGTTGAATAATTAGTTACACAATCCTGTCCTAATTTCAGTGTGATAAATTCAGGCAAGTTATTTAAACTCTTGCATAAAACAGGGAGTTGGGAGGGATGAATTCTTGTTCAACTAGCGAACTGTGTGAAAATCGGGCCTAGACATTTTCGTTATAACTTCAGCCATGCTTTGAGGTTGCTTCGTGATATTTTCAACAATACGGACTATTAGCAACGTCAAACCAACGTTCTCATCACGCAGTCGAGTGAAAGGCCGCCACCCAACACCACAGTCGCCGGCCCAAGCATTCTTAAACCGCCGCGTGAATCGGCAGTTCTGGAGAGATTGTGGCAGACGAAACTATACGAACATCCGCGCAGTGCAGCAAGCCTGTCGTTCATGAGATGGATAAAACAATTGGCATGAAGCTTAACTATTGACATGCAGACTATTTATTCCAAAGAAGTGTATGTATAGTCATTAATCTCAATTACTGTGAAGCTCACCTAGAAGCGTATTTATATTATCATGAGGCTAAACTGTTCATCATTACGCTTGCATTCAAGATTGTTCATCCATATATCCGTTCTTCAGTCGAGATTTTTTTTCACCAAGCCATTAATATATTATAATCAAACGCGGTTTCGTACCTCTACTTGTGTGTTTACTCTAGTTTAAATTTCTCTTGTTTCGTGCATTCTGCGATTTTGTGCACTTAATACGATCTCGATCTACCAAGTTCTAAACATTTTCTTTGCTCTGTTATTTTTTACTTCCTGACTTTGTAGAGGTCCACCAACCTTTTCCATACTTCCTTCGGTGCCTGGTATTTAATGCGTCTTTCTTCTAGTGTGTAGCGTGTGTTGCAATTCCTCCCAATTTAAACGCACCACTAGCATGAAGAACAGTTCGATTTTTGATTTATGATGACAAATGAAAACCACATAGTTAGCAAAATACTCCATGTGCTGCCTGCATTTATTACTCTAAATCCAAATTAGGATTTGGCCGCAAGTTGCTGCATGAGCTTACAGCTGCTGGACCGCATGCTAGCCTCACCAATTCAGTGGCTCGTCTTTGGGTTTTTTAGAAGAGTTTGCCGTCCTACATAGCGTGTTTATCGTGGGCGGACGAGTCTACTGCAGTCAAGGGCGCCAACGGAAAAAACCTTCCTCTATTGTTGTGTTCTTGTGTCCCGCTGGACACTGGTAATTTGACTCTGGATCAGCAGAATTCAATCGAAATTCAATGCTTGCCTTTAGTATAAATTTTACCACTGTCGTTTGAATTGAAAGTGCGTGCAGCGTCACCAGCGTTAAACTAGTATTAATGTTCGTGAAGACAAGACAACCAGCCGTGTGTTTAGTTACATTTTTTTCTTTGCCGTCCAACGCAAAATTAATCATTTTACCGCCCAAATGACTGGACGGTAAAATTATTTGTGGGCGTTTTCTTCCGGAATCAGATGAATTGATATTAGATATAATGACTTTAATTTCGTGTTTTACTCAACAAAGAGCAAGCCAATTTTGCGTTCCATTATCTTTTTATCTTAAAATCGAATACACATGAAGGTGTCTGAATGATATTGTGTCCGGCATTATGAATGTTTTCCCTATTCTCGTGTGGCCTGCGTGGCGCTTGAAACTAGTCGAGCAGCCGGACTAAAGCAATTAAACTTCGAAAAACCTGAAATGAAGGATTTAATGGTGGCGTCATTTCATCGCGTCAGAGTTGGCATTTCAAGTCGTATCAACACAGTCGCTCAAATGCTGGTGACAGCCGCAGTAGCTCGCGTACGAATTCAGAAAAAAACATACTGTTGTCTAATTATACTGACGTAATTAACGAGTATCTTAGTATAACTGGTCGCATTTTGCGGGTTGTGTAAGTATTACAACCAATCATGTCATTGATGTCAGTTATTTTGTATTCGTTGTTCTCGAAGTAAAAGTTTGAAGTTATATGGATAATTCAACACAATTTCAATGTTTTGAATTGCAAAGGCATTGAATTATCATGAATTTTATCAGTAAAATACAATACAGTTTCCGTTGCGAAAAACGTCCATCTTGGCGCTCGACGAACACGGTCTAAAGAGGTCATGAGAAGGAAAGGAAGGTGGCTGTGGTCAGAGAGTTAGGTTATGCGCCTGCCTGTAAACTTTCACTCCTCACTGTGTCCTGCTGCTGTTTTCTCTCGTGTACCTGCTGGTTTCTTGGACTGTATGGACAAGTATTCTTTAATACCTTCTCAATGTAAACTCTATCTCGCGTAGGTATTAGTACGGTATCCTATTTCGTACCAGTTTCGTCTCACATGCTCGTACATTAGTTTCGTCTCGCGTGCAAATTTCGTCTTGCGTATTAATTTCGTATTGCGTAGAAAAAGAAGATCAGTACACTTAATCATTTCCGTTGTACAGGAGGCGCTAATTCTGCGTCGCTGCATGACCACCTGCTTTTTCAGTCGGGGAATTTTTTTCTGTGTTATGAGTAGAAATTTTTTTAAAGAATTCAGTTTGTTGTAGATTTTCTTCGAATTAATTTATGATTTCAAAGTATTAAATATTCTTTAAAATGATTATTATGATTTTGCGTCGTGCCGTTGAAAATGAATGAATAATCAACTTGTTAATAAGTGGTGAATAACCATTAATCGTAATGAATTAGAAAAAAATCAATGTAGAGACCCTTTATTATTCTAAGCGCGGACTGCACACGCAATTCCTAAATTTTCGAAATAAATTTATTCGAGGTATGGGAGGTGTTTGGGCATTGAACACTTGTTCTTAGATAGAATAAATTTTTCTTCACTAAAGAAACACTTGTGCTTACATGGATCAAATGTTTTCTTCTCATTGAAGACGTTCCCTATTCTCAAGGCTGACATCCTGAGTTACAAGGCTGATATCCAGCCGCTGAAATGTTTATTGGCTATTGAAATTATCTTTAGTTCATTGATACAAGACGGCGTCTTTGTCTGGAATGTTGATGATGAAACGAGGTTAGTCTCAGTTCCCTAACCACATATGAGTTGTCGTATCCGTTATTTGTTTAGTTGCTGAATTGTTACAATTGTTCAATGTTGTTTTAATGCTGATCATTATGGTCGTGTTGTTTTAATGCTGATCATGTTGTTCGGCAACAAGCCATGGGCCTATTTCTTCAACGCTGACTTCTATTAAGTTCTGGGAAATATTTTTTATTCCTCTTGGATAATAATTAAATCTGACTGCATTGGTTTAAAACAAACTATATGCCGTCCATCAAAAATTCTATTAGGCAGTTGAATATATTAAGGAAAATCTGCTTCCCACGTTGCCTAATGCTTGTGTAAATATTCCGTTTTTGCGGATATTCCGATCGACGCTCAACGGTGATTTTGTCCATAAAACAATGCTACCGGTAGCCGTCAACCCTCTACTGTCTAGGGGCTAAATGGAACAGTTTTCAGTGCTCTTATAAGAATGAGCGACAAGAATAAATGCTAGCCGTCAGAAGTTAGACTTTCGGTGTATTTTCCATGTTTTTTGACGCAAATTGATATGAGAGAAATGAAGATGATTTTTCTAACGAGTATAAATATCATTGCTATAGGATAGGTATGCTTCTTAAGTTCTTACTAACTACATTATTTTATTTTGCAGGTTCTGTCAGTGCCATAGACCTTCCCTAGTAACAATGGGGAAGTCACTTGAAGCAGTGGTGATGCTGATCCTTCTTGTGAACTTTAATGTTCAGAAACATGTGATGGCAGATGTCTTCACCAGCATGACTGACATGCACACCTTATTGGACACGGAGAGTGAAATAATCCGTACCATGGAGGATTACATCACTACACAAGAAGCCAAATTAGTAAAATTACGCAAGTGGGTAAAGAGAAGAACTAAGATTAGCAATACAATGAATAGAAATCAGCCCCAGGCTTTGCAGTTTGCTCCTAAGTCCTACCTTTCCTAAACTTTTTTGGTGCTGAAGGCTGAAGTGACTATTTCCATGGCTGTAAATATGAACAACATTGCTCACACTTCACTATGTAGCCTTGTAGGTGATTTTATGAATACAATCTAAATTAGTTTTTGTTTATTTTGTGGTCTAAAGAATATAACTGGAAACTAGTGGAAATTAGAGATAAATACTATGAGTGAAAAAGCTGATTTACTGCTTCTAACTTTTGTAGTCATTAGATGGTTTTTTAAATATAATATATAAGCCTAGTTTTTCTTGCATTATGTTGTCCTAATCCATGGTTCATATTACAGAGATGTTGCTGAGATGGAGGCCCTACACCGCTTAGCATCACAGTCTCCTGACCAGTTCCTGGGTCATCCAATCAATGCCTTCTTATTGGTTAAGAGACTTACTCTTGACTGGGCTGAATGGCAGACAACGCTAACTTCAGACCCTGTGGGGCAAGGCAAGCAATTGATTTCACTTTTCCCAATTTCTTGTATGAAGTTCATTAGTAACACATGGCTTTCAATGTAATTAATTCATACTACCCTAACTTGAATGTATAAGGGTAAAAATTTTATGCCTGTACCAATGCCAGTATAAAAAATTTCACTATTAGCTTAAATAACGGTATTGTGTAGGGAGATCCATAGGAAAGGTTTTTATTTTGGCACTGCTTGATTTCTTCATTAGTTCCTTACAATTCCATAAACATACCAGCACGAAGGTGCTGGCTGCTTTATGAAGAATCAGATGATCTGATGCATAAGAGATTCACTGTTGAAGTGATAAATTTCATGTCATTTTCCTCACTTTTTCAACAATGTTTTTCTTCAGATTTAACAATGTTTTGTCCTAAGCAATTAAAATGTGTTTCTAAATTACTGTACTTTGAATTTTCAATTGCCTCACTAAAACCTATTTACTAAATTTTTGGCAATATTTGCAGCTGTGCTGGCAAATTTCACCAGCCGAGGGGAAGGAGTTCTGAAGTGGCCTGATGAGGAAGACTTGAGTGGAGTTGCCACGGCTTTAATGCGCTTACAGGACACGTACCAGCTCGACACATCTCGTATGGCTGAGGGATACATCAATGACATGCCTCCTGCCCACAAACAACTATCTGGTACTCCATTTGCTATTTCATTTTAGGTTAATTAATCTTCACCGTCATGGTCTATAAACTCATAAACTCGTAGCACAGTTTACTGTAATAAATCTAGATGATTTTAGCCTGGCTTATGAGCAGTTGTGTAGCGTGGTAATGAATTTATTTCTTATAGAAAATAAATTCATTATTATTTATTTACCGCTTCAAATTTTTAATTGAACGTATACTTCCTTCTGTTATAAGATGATTTGAAGCCTACTCATAAAACAAAAAGTGCCTATTGGTTTTAGCCATGTGTACATATATATCCGTTTAAAGAAACCTTCTGAACTGTTTTATCTATGATTCTTTTAGTACCATCTTTAGTGCATAGTTCTCAGTTTTAGTGTTGAGCAACAATTATTTTTTATAATTTTGGACATTTCATAAACCAATGAACATGTTCATTTATTATTGTGTCGATACGTCTTCAGCAAGTGACTGCTTCGAGCTCGGCCGACAGAGCTACAACTCAGGCGACCACTACCACACAGTCCTGTGGATGAACGAAGCTCTTGGCCGCCTGGAAGAAGAGAAAGATACCAGCTCTCGGTCTCTGCCTGCACGAACTATCACTAAGGCTGACATTCTGGAGTACCTTGCCTTCTCTAACTACATGCAGGGGCACATCAAATATGCTCTCAAGCTCACTGATGAGCTCATAGAACTGCGACCAGATCACCAGAGGGCGCTCGGCAACAAGGCTTATTATGAAGAAGCGCTTAAAAAAGCAGGCGATGGGCGTAGAGGTGAAGATGGACGCCTGCTTCAAGATGAAGCTGTTCAGAAGGTGTGTTTGTTATTTTGATATTATTGTTCATGTGGGTGGTGCAAAAAAAATAGGAAGGAAGGAATTGGTACCTATGTGTGTATACTCTTCTTTTTGATATCCTTCAAATCATAGATAAAACTTACACCAATCTATATCAAACTCCATCACGCTGGAGTTTTACACTCGATGATTACCATGTAAATAATGAAAGATAGTATTTATGTTCATTTACTCACCAAAAATTTAATTATCGTCATATATTTAGAGCATCTGAATATTTTCTACTACGGGCTGTGCAATTGGGCATGATGTTTATTGACAATGTGGAGAAAATTATGTTGTTGATGCGCTTCATTTTTTGCCTCATCAGCATATCGTTCATCAATGAATAGATAGCAAATATATATATATATATTGCAGCTTTCTATGTATTCATATTTCAATGCGAATTTGACGATTACAGGGCTACACAGTGCAAGAGGAGACGGACGACATAGAGTCGCTGGGCAGTAGCTGGCAGCGTGAGAGGGACGCTTATGAACGACTCTGCCGCGGTGAAGTACACTCATCTCCTCAGGCCGTCGCGAGCCTCACGTGTCACTATCAGGTCTCCAACTCTCAATTTAGTATTATTTATCTTCTTATAGACTACACTATAAGAATCTAAGCTACATCGGAATGTAGCTTATAGACTACATTCTGATGCAATTTTTTCATTCACACATTAATCACAAAATCTAATAACACTCCGTTTTGAATGATGCTCCGCTGTCATGTCCACCATGCAACTTCCATCTTGCCATGCATCTTCCTTAACAATACTAGATTTTATTTTGTTCCATAGGCCTATCTTGTCACGTAACCTCTCATTCTCTTTAAGCTATCTGACTCCATAACACAATATTACTTGGTGAATCTTTACTTAACATAACTTGCGATCGTGTCTCTAGTTAACGTGTCGTTAATGTAGAAATTTGTATAAACCTCCTAATTTCTCTCAAGTCAACATTAATATCCTTGTTCTTTTCATTTTCATCTTCTTATAGCAGGTGCAGAAAATACAGCGTCTTCAAGCATGTGTTACATACGAAAAAAAAAAAACAGTGTTGAGAGATTTTTATTACAACCTAAAACTATCTCTAATGTCTATCAAATTTGGGCGCAGGACTAACTTGATTTATTGCAGACCGGCCCCGCCCCCTTCCTCCGCATTGCGCCGGTCCGAGCTGAGGTCGCGCATGTGCATCCTACCATCACCCTCTACCACGACGTGCTCTCCGAGCGCGAAATAGAGACCATAAAACGACTCGCTCTGCCAAGGGTAAACAATGTGCAAACAATAGTATAAATAGCTTACTTCTTTACTGAACTTGGATTGAAAAATCGTCTCAACACAAGGATTGTATACTATATTATTCACTCAAATTAGTTGGTCCAATAAAAAAAACATTTCTCAACGTTCTCATTGGCAAAACAATAATATCTATTACTTCGGTTGAACGATCCTGATTGTTGAGACATTTGTTTTTATAACCAACTTCACGATTAACACATTTCGATCTATTCTTGATAAGGCCCAAAACAACCATTTTTAATCAAGTTTACTGAAGGTGCTGCGCTACCAAAAATTAATCTAACTCGTGAAGTTTTTAGTGCTTTCAAAGCCTTCACCCAAACTTCAACATCGTCAGAAGAAGTCATTTATTTTGGCCACTTAGTTTTGTCCTGGAGAAAATATCTCATCTCAACTTTCTCTTTTTGACTCTTAGCTGCCGAAAATTTTCTCCTCCAACGGCTGAAATTTCTATAATTCGTCTAATTTCTTGCAGTTTAAGCGCGCCACCGTGCAGAACTACAAGACAGGGGCTCTGGAGACGGCAAGCTACCGCATCAGCAAGAGCGCCTGGCTCAAGGAGGAGGATGATAATACCGTCGCGCGTGTGAACAGGAGAATTGCGAGCATTACAGGTAACTACTTACCTGCGTTCTTGAGATTTGTTCAAGCATTAGGAAATATGTCATTTAAAGTGTGATTGCTGGTACCGCCGGTAACTACTTGCCCGTGTTCTTGAGATTTGTTCAAGTATTAGGAAATATGTCATTTGGAGTATGATTGTTAGGATCGCGGGCAACTACTTGCCTGGGTTCTTTAGATCTGTTCAAACATTACGAAATACTGTATTGAATTCAAAGCATGAATGGTGGTATCGCGGGTAACTACTTGCCTTTGTTCTTGAGATTTGTTCAAGCATCACGAAATATTTCATTCAAAGTAAGATTGTCATAATTATTATCATTGACACTAGCACGGGTAACTTAATTTGCTGTGATCTATCATAGTATATTGGTAGTATGCGACATTCATACTGTTGCATGATGGCCACCAAATATTACGAGTAGCAACTAACTTGCTTCATGAGACTGTCCCAGAATCAGGAAATGCCTTGTCCTTGTGCATTATTGCTGGCATTTGGGGAACTACTTCAACATTTATATTTTCTTTTTAAAAATGAAATTTCTTTTTGTCTGGTTAGTACGGTATCTTAATGTTTTTCTGGCCGTTTCAGCAACTGAATGAAAGGCATGGCAGCTCGCAGGTTCCATTAATTTCGCCTATGAGTAAATATTCACTACGGTCAGGTCTCGAGATGTCGACGGCCGAGGAGCTGCAGGTCGCCAACTACGGCGTGGGTGGTCACTATGAGCCGCATTTCGACTATGCCAGGGTGAGCCTTCTTTATTATCCCATTATTATCAATCTTTGTTATTTATCTGAATTTTCCTCATGGTGATTCCTCGTTTTTAAAGTTTAATAGAACGTTCTTACATACTTTTCTTAAGTGAATTTTTAAGATAAAAAAAAGTCTCACTCCGAAGGTAAACAAAAATTTTACTGCTATGGATAACTTCACATGTATAATTTCATGTACACGTTGCTAATTCTCATGCAAGTATTATTGAATTAAAATTAATCATGCACCGCCGCCTTGTTCCCAATGTTTTCAGCGCGAGGAGAAGGACGCATTTAAGAGCCTTGGAACAGGCAATCGCATCGCCACATTTTTATTCTACGTAAGTCACTTTTTTCGGACTCGTACAAAGGTCTCGCTGCCTGTCTCATGCTGCGCATCGTTACTAACCTCGTTTATTCGAACTGATTAAGATAAGTTTGCATTCCCAAGGCCCTAATTGCTAATGAGCATGTTTGTTGTGTTCGTAATGCAGATGTTACTCTGATCCGTTTTTCGGCTACTAATCTTGTTTGTACAAGAGATGTTTTAACTAATCTGCTATTTAACATTCTATTTATTTTATCACGTTTCCGTTCGACTAAAATCAATTCCTTAAACCTAATTAATGCTTCCATGTAGACTGTAGATCGTATTTTTGTCAGTCACCTTAATTCCCTACATTGCTCTATTACGCAAGCTTCTAACATTATTCTTCCGTTATTCACGTATCTTGGTCGTCCTTTCTTTTGCTCTTAGTTTGCGTGTTGTGTAATTTGTCTTGGACTTGTCCCATCAGCTTGCTCTTTGAAAATGAGTTTACACGACGACGAAGTGAGTGACAGACCACATTGAGGACCACGCGTGAGTGATCATTGCGAGTGTTGATTGATCACGAGCGCAAATTGTGAGTTTTAATTGGTCACGTGCGATAATTACGAGTGATAATTGGTCACGTGCGATAATTGCGAGGTCTTGTTGCAGGCTGACGAGATCGGTCCAGATGGCTACGTTGGTCCGTTCGGCAATCGTCTTGCAACGTGGCTCTTTTACGTACGTTTGATCGTTCCATTTAAGCACCATTCGTCCGCACGGGACTTCGCGATCACAAATGTTACCTGAATGCATCAGAGCAAGACGCACATTTTTTGTGGCCTATTCCAAACGGTCAATGTTTAATGAATTGCGAGGTCTTGTTGCAGGCTGACGAGATCGGTCCAGATGGCTACGTTGGTCCGTTCGGCAATCGTCTTGCAACGTGGCTCTTTTACGTACGTCTAATCGTTCCATTTAAGCACCATTCGTCCACACGGGATTGAGCTTCGCGATCACAAATGTTACCTGAATGCATCAGAGCAAGACACACATTTTTTGTGGCCTATTCCAAACGGTCAATGTTTAATGACGTTGAACATTGCCAGTACTTTCTCCAGCTCATCGGATTGAAGATACGGTTGCACGGTGAACTATTTTCTCTGATATACAATAAGAATTTTGAATGCTCTGTCTCGCTCTCTATTACGATGCTCAAAATAAATGACTTTTGTGTTCATAAATGGTTATCGAAACTTGCTGTAATTTCCCCTCTGGTGAACAGACACGTGAGTATCACTCGGTGATGCCAGCATGAGGAGATGCATGAAGCTTAACTAGGCAAAATGCGTTGCCTAGTTGTCCTTGTTTGCATGAATGGTTTTATGGTTTGGAATTATGTTCTTGATCTTGTCTCTTGTCATTTAGAGCTTACTCCTTTTTTCTTATTTAAAATGGCGCACAGGTAAGTTGAAATTGAATGGATATTTAAGTAGGAAAGTGGGTCATAATATTGAATATATGAATATTTAATCAAAAATCGTTATATTGTGTTTCGTTTAGTAGGTTTGTGTCTAGACTTGAACTGTGATTTTTTTTTAAGAGTGAATCCATTGACATGTTCCCGAAACAATATTTTGTACCTACGATTTTTATCCAACATTTTCTTTCAAGTCAAATTTTCAGAATGAATGTGCATAAATTGTAAAGATTTTACTATGAAATTCTTTGTTAGTTCACCATTTGAAATTCTTTCAGTTTTAATTACTCTAATATCTGCACTGACTATGATTATGTTTGAAAATATTCCAGACGCGTTTTCTTTTTCATTTTATCATACTTACCCCGCTTATGAACTGAGCCTAATTTGCAACCCAGTAAGACGTCAGAAATCAGTGCCTCTTACCGCTTTTTAAAGCCGTTTCTTTTCGTAATATCCAACTTGCCATGTGATTCCATTCATTTAGCTTGTTTATTAATTCCCATAATTTCTGTTCTCCTCAAATTCCCTCTATTTGTTTTGACGAAGTAGACAAACAGCAAGTGAACATAGAAGGATATAACATCGTAATACATAATGTTCCTCTCCCTTTCAATACTTACGGGTTACTATCGAAATTTCTGTCCGCAATAAGGTTTGTGAACTCCAACAGCAATTTCTATTTCATTTCATTCATTTTTATTTTATTTCTTTTTTCTTACGGTACTAAGCCTTCGTTACGGCCCTGGGTATTGAATAATTTTATTCGTCGTTTTACTTGTTAGCTGTAATATTCGCAGCAACGATAATATTCTTTTCTTTTTCCAACTGCGTCGGTGGCTGGTATGATTCTTATTTCAGTAATAGTTGTCTAACAACCATCACGTTTTTCCACTACGCCGTAGTACTTGTCGTCCAGTAACAAGTCCAATTCTTTTTTCAGTATCCAACAAATGGATCCACGAGCGCGGCCAAGAATTCCTCCGCCCTTGCGAGTTGGACCGAAATGCGCAGTGATGGGACGAGAGATAATATGGAACCTTCAAGACGCCGCCGTTTCAGCGTGCAGTAATTCTATGCTTAGATCAGTGGTGCGGACTCAAGCGGGTTAACTCACGTGAATAATTTGACAATGCGACCAAAATGACGCAGCTCATGTTTTATAGAAGTGTGGACGGGAAGCTCTTTCCTCGCCACCTGGTGAATTTTCAGACTAAGGGTAACGAGGAAGTTTTCAGTAATTAGATTGCTATCGGAAACGAGAACACTCTATGTATCGCTTACTTAATTTCAATGACGGTATAAATGATCGAAAAACAATGAGACAACAGTAAAAAATGTATTCCAATTACATGAATATCTCAATGCGAAAATTGATCCATCAATGTCACACGAACTACGAATCACTGATCTAAGCACAGAATTTTATCCTTCATACCGCCGTAACGTAGTCATAGCAAATGATAGTAGCGAGTGCACTCTGTGGTGCGATCAGAGCTGGAGGAAACTAGCAACCCTCCTGTCCTGCATTTTAGTTTACTATCTCTCTTTCATTTCGAACTTCAATTCGAATAAACTCGCTTTCTTTGTGCAACCCACTCTGGTCAAAATGTCGGTCGAATTTCACACGAGTCGGTGAAGTTTGATGTAGGAAATACGGTCGATTGTGTGGTTTCCTAGTCATGGGCGATTTATTCAGAACCTCATAACTTATAATAGCCCATCAGTAAGAAGACGAAGCCGGGCTGAACTATAGAATCTCATAAGATCTATTATTGTCTCCATAGGATTTTACCTTTAAATTAAGTTTTCGCTTCAATTTTAAACTTGATGTGGAACAATCAACGTGCATCTTTTTACAGATCTAGACAGACAACACCTTGAATTTTTATTCTCGGCAATTTTATTTCGATCCAATATATCGCGAAATTTCTAGTATCATATCCACATGTTGGACATAAATACAATTAGCTTAAATAATGTGCTTCATTGTGTTTGTGGTATCCAAAAAACAAGACTACAACTTCACTTTCATGCATGGCACAGGCACACCTAAGTTCAACTAGCATCGAGCGGAAGGCTGAAAATGCCATGAAGGGATCTCGTGTTTTGATCCGCCCACGAACCTCGTCAAAATTTCTTTCAATTGTTTGGGTATTGTGTTCCGAAGAGTAAAAGTTGACGTGTTCAACTAGCAGTCAAATCTTTCATAAAATATTTTCTAATTTTGTCCATCTATTCAAGTAAATGACTGGTGAGCTGGGCAAAGGATTAAATCTTGTCCGGCTCTGTCATTTTAAATAATTTATTTCTGCTGAATTTTTTTATGATGGGAAAGACAAAAAGGAAGAATATTTTGCACTTGAGTAGTTGCTCCAGAATTGGGAAGTGGCGGTCACGTTTGTTACTACGCTGGTAACCATATGGTAATTTAAAATCGTGTTCACAAACGGCAGCATTTCACTTGCAACATAATCGTCTCACGGCTCGTCAAGTTCCGTGTGCATAGAATAGAACGAAATGAAACCAAGCCTTGTAACTTTCTAAACCTCTTTCCTGCTTCAAAATAAGTACATTTTTACCATCATCGGTATATTAGATTGTATATAAATGACAGGAATTTAACCCTGGCCTTGCAACGTTTAATTGTAAGTAAGAAGCCAAGCCTTACATTATAGGTTACGCAACTGCCGAGCGTAGGAACAGTACGCTATGTTGGGGAAAATCGCTGCAAAAAAAATCTACAAAAAGGAGTCGACAGAGCAACGTCAATCTCCTTTTGATGCATAATAACTACCTACGCGAAAGTATTTAAGTACAAAATATGATGCCATACTGCAGTACCGATAAGTTCTATCAATCGAGTTAGATTAAAGCAATGAATGAAAGGAAGAAAATAAGTGGAGGATACGGGAAAATTTAGGTCCAGAAGCTAGCGAAAATATCTGACGAATGGCACTTGCTGAGAAACAAACAAAAACTAGTTAAGTGCTATCTGAATAAAAAACTAAAATTCTGTATATAATTGCTGTAAATCAGAATTCCAAAATGATCTTTTAGTAAAATTTAACGACGGAATTGAGTAGAGACCGATAGAGCAGCGCGTAGTAACAAAACTTCCTTTCAATTATTATTTTTGGATACGTGAAAAATAGTTCAGAAATTTTGAAAGCAGCACGAACATTACGTTCAAGGCACAATTATTATAATTTAGTTCACTACCAATCGACCTTCCATCTTATCGTGTAGTTATAAAAATATAAACTATATTAACGGTTATTGTGACGATTCATGCCTTACCACAAATATATCTTTCAGTATCTAATAAAGACACATTTACCGGCCAACAATAAACGATTTTATAGGTATAAATAAATAGTTTTTCTCAAAGGCAAATAGTTCACGCTTAAGACATGGGTAGCCGCATCTTCATGTACGTGAAACATAGTACATAATATCTTTCCAAGATTCTCTCCTCTTTAGTTCGTCCATTGTTGATAAGATGTTCCATATTTCATACCCATACAAATAAATTGCATCAAATTATAGAATATTAATGCAATAAATCGTCAAGCTACAAATTGGGTTGACAGTAATTATTTGATGAAAATATTGACATTATTTTGACTCATAATGAATACAAGGCAGAATATTAATAGGAAAGAATTGACCCACAGAAGCTTCCTCCATCTATAAAATTAAAAATTTTGTTGCAAACAAATCTATACATTCCGTGGAGGATTTTTAAGGTCATTCGTTAATCTGTAGGAGCTTTTTCATTTAATTACGAAATAGATTACATGATGGAAGTATGCTATTGTATTAAAGTTAGTTCCACATTATTGTTTTTAAGTAAATATCAATCATAAATAGATTTCATATGCAATTCGGGAGAAACAACCAGCAGGCAATTAATGCGCAGTTTGAAGAGTCTACCAAATGATGAACTCGTTGCGGGGTTTGTGACTCGATAAAGTGAATCCGATGCTGAAAAAAGTGAACGTCTTAACAAACCGAAGCCCGGGCTTAGACTAAGGCACTGGCATGATTAAATGGCAAAAAAGCATAACATTTTTTAGAAGAGTCAGCGCCACAGATTTAGCCACAGCACTCATGCCACAGACCCTCCAAAGAATCGATTCCTTTTGTTAAAAAAACTGACACAATTTTCTAGCGCGGTCGAAATCGCTTTCAAGTTACTATATGGCAATTGAACCCTAAAAATCGTAGTCCTGACCAGTACTATACGGTTTTTATTTGACAAGCGGCGAGTTAACTACAGTAGCTGCTGAGTGGCGAACTATGAAGCATTGACGTCAGTAGTTGATGAGCCATCGTCATTAACCTCGCCATAAAGTATGAATAATAAGTTAGTACAAATCTTAGAATCAAACTATCATTTAACCAGGATGGTTCGGCGTTGCTCTGAAAGTTATACAACAATCTTAACTGAAAAATCTGAAATAAATTCAACACTTAGAATTTTACAGCATTTGAGCCTAAGTACATTAAAACAAATTTACCCTCACTCCTCACCTCCCAATATACATCTTCCCTAAATCAATGAAGTAACTAGCATACCAGAGCAATGGTATGTTATCCACGATACCAAGCTTACAATGTAGTAACTTGGTGAAGTTTTGAACACACGTCATGGAACACAGGCAGATTGATTCCATCACAACCATTTGCAAAAAATTTTTAGACTTTTAAATACCAGCAAATAACACGATATTATTATAAAAAGAAACAATTCATGAGATTCGCTCACATTGATTATTGTAACAGGAAATTAAAGATAAATTTGGAATAGAGTTCATTAATCCACGCTGATCTTCCAGCATAGATTCAGATCTATTTAGTTTCAGATTCACACAGGGAAAGAAGAATTATCTTCTAATATGACTGAGATCATAAGAGGTTCGATGATGAAATAAATTCAGACCAATTTCTCAAGACGATAAAAATTGCAAGTCTCAATAAAACTAACATGGACACAAACAAGATGGGGCGCCATCTACTAGCCAGAAACAAACGCTCAAGAAGAAAATATTCAATAGCTTTTTTGTGACAAACGGATTGCTTAACAATTAATGTACAATATCAAAAAAATATAACTCAGTACTCACAGCAGTGAGTGACAGAGAGCACATTTTCTAGTTGACGAAAACTTGAGGTCACGGACAGACGGACGGACGGACAGACAGGCAGACAGACAGACGGACATGGCGAGCACAATAGTGCATTTTTTCCATAAATGAGAAAATGCGCTAAAAAGTTATTTCATGGTAATCTTTAAGCCACGTAATGGTGAAGAAATAAGTGCGTTTAATGTACGGTAACTCAAATAATATATTGGTTTCCTCGACGAGCATTTTCGGCTAGAAGCTTCCTAGGTAATATTCTCAAACTGAAGAATAATTCCTCCATAAAATAAAATGAGAGTGCAATATTGAAATGAAATTCCATTAAATTCGTTTGTGACTGATGAAAGACTGGGATTTTCCACAGATAGAAGAATATGTTGCATTTCACTAACAAATGTTTGGGAACAAGCTGAAAGGATAAATTTATCTGCAATGTTACTGCCATTTTAAAAATAAAGTCATAAATTGTTAACCTCAAAATGTTAAAAGATTTTTAAAAATACAGCATTTCTTAAATTTTCACTAAACGAGAAAAGCACCTCGATGAGATTCTCAATTTGACTTTTATGACACCAATTTCAAAGGAAGCTGCTTTGCAAGATTATATAATTGAACTTATGATGTAGCAAAGTTGAGATTTAAAACACAACTACACCTAATAGAAAGTAAACACATTTTCTTTCCATAATATCAAGAGTATGGATAATTTTACAAGGTTCTTATCACTAAAATAACATCCAAGACCACAACCAAGCCACTTACAGACAGAAAAGATTTGAAGCACAAAAATATTTCTGCACTTTAAAATTTAACAATTAGTTTATAGAAAATATGGAAGCACGCATGGTGCTGGTGGTTAATCATTACCAAAATATTTTTTTACCACCGCATTCTTACAAAATGTATATTTTGTAGGTAAATTCAAAATATCTCTAATTAAGTTAAATAACTGCACATGGGACAATTCATGATACATCTCCAATGGCCGAACTTTTTATCTAAATTCATAATTAAGTTAAGTACTGTAACTGCACATGGGACAATTCATGATACATCTCCAATGGTCAAACTTTCTATCTAAATTCAGCTACAAGTCATACATGCCATCAACCAGATAATCCATCCTGTCATAATGCCGTTTGGTCCAGATATCTTGGAGCTTCTTGTATCCCAGAATGGCTATGATGATAATGAAGACTACACCAAACATGACGCCAAGCACCAGCGAGGAGCTCACGGAGTTGTTAGTGATGTTGTCAACAGCAGCATCAGGTTTGAGATGCTTTGAAGATACTACCGTCTGGCTACTGTTAACAACAGGAACTAGGATTGTAGACTTATATGAAGCTGTTGATGATTTCACAGCAATAGGTTTTAATTCAGGATATAGCTGTTTTTTCTCAGTGGTTGTACTGAGCTCTAAAGGAGGTTTTTGAATGTCATTGTATGGCTGTCTGTCAACAAATTGTGTTGTAGTACGAGGAGTTGTCGTCACATAGGATGTATTTGAAGATAGTTCTGGTTCGGCTGAGGTGCTGGTGGAATAAATCACATCTGCCATTTCTGCTTCCAATATTGTTGTTGATTCAATATCCCCAACACCTTTCCGACCAACAATAGACTTAGGGTTATCAACACCCTTGCGGGGAACAACAGAGCTTTTATTTCCAATGCTCTCATAGATGGAGGCTGGCTTTTCAACTTCACCTGTCAATATATTGTTTTCATTCAAGACTTGCAAGTGTTCAGATTCATGTTCAGGTTTCAACTTATTTTGAGTTGATTTTTCAGAAGTAGCAGGCGGTGCATGGTTGGATGGAGGAAATGGGTCAACCTCTCGTCCTCCACCTGAAATTCAAGTAAGATTTACTCAAAAAAATTATGAAACTAAAATTTGAAAAAATGTTTTGTATGGATTAAGACTTACAATCTTTAATTGATTAACATGACTACACTACTAGTGCATATACAGTAGATTATGATTAATGAATCATGTCATTAATGAATTAAAATTAAAAAATTTATAATTTGTCAGACCTGATGAAATTCAGATAATAGTACATACTAGATATTGGCATATCGGTACTCATTAGTTTCTCATTTGTTATGAATAAAATATTTTAAATAGCAAAAGTAAATTTACAGCTTCAACAATCAAAGAGAAGTGGTTTCATCAAAGGAATTAAAATAAACGAGTCTTACTTAGTAGTGAATTGTGCACATCTTCAACAGGAGGGGGCAAAATGTGTGACTTTCCCTGCAAAATAATAGCTATTTATGTCAACAAGTCAATCACCAAAAATAAAACAAGTATATTTATATTGAGTATTTATATTGAGAGATCATAATCATTGCTTATTCACTCAATACCAAGTTATAGGTCACAAAATGTTCTTTTGTTGATTTCATAAATGTTTGTTGACACATTATATAAAAAGTTCTGACAAAATACAATAAAGGATTTGAATATATTGGCAATTTAAATACAGGGAAATGCATGGAAAGAATTGTATTATTATTAGTTTAAAAAATATTGATTTTATAAAAAATAAGTATGGATGATTTTACAAACAGATAAATTTAAAAGAAAAATTATTTGAGTAAGAGGATTAAAAAAGCAAAATTGAATAAATGATGAGTATTGATTCATACCTCAAGTTCAGGGATCAGTATGATGCCATTAGGATGATTGTGCTCTGGAGGCAGACATGTGCATGGGCACATCAAGCATAAGAGTATACAAGATATAGAGACTAATTTTGAGATTATCTCAATACTATTTTCTTTAGATTTGAAAATCATTATAAGCTTGTTAAGAAACTATTTTTACTCTGAAAAAATAGATTACAATTTAACACTAGGTCACTTAAAAATGTACTTTTAGGTCTACATATAAACCGTATACTGTCAAACAGGGTTTTATAGGATGGGCAGGGTAATTGGGAAAGTACTCCATCATGGCATAAAAATGTAATAGCAGCAAAACTAATTTAAATACAGCAAAACTGAAAATAGTGGCATATACTTTGACACTTTTCCTATCTATGTAGCATAAAGAAAGTTATAATAATAATTTCCTAGCTCTAAAAAAATCCCTGAAAAAATGTCAAAAAGTTATATTTTGAAAAAGTGCTTCTGTTAAGGTCTGTAATGAAAAAAAAAATATTCACCATATTGAAAAATTAAGCTTGAAAAAAAAGTTGCAGTCAGGTGTTGGCTTTAAAACTTTATTGTCTGACTTTGCGTACCTCAATCCAAAACAAAATGGTGGCCATTTCTGCAAGTTGGGGTACCTATTACAAGTTACAGGACACTCTATTACCCTGTTATATAGGACTTGTATTACCCTGTAATATGGGACACCCCCTAAAAACGCATTTACAGTAGAATCTTCATTAGCACAGGCTCTCTGCTCTGGTCAATATAAAAATTGGTTAATGACAAAGAATTTTGTTTAAATTTACCTTTCTCAGCAATCATCAATAAAATGTCACTAAGAAAAATTAATGCATTATCGGTCATCACAAAATTGTGCATAGAATGTCATAGATAGAATTGTGCACCAAATATAGAATGAAAAAGAATTAACCTAAAATATGATTTATTTCTACAAAAAATATGATGGTTGTCACTAAAATATTCCTTTCTGTTTCAGGTATGTTTTTTATGATCTTTTTTTTTTTGTTATATGAATTAATTCACTTGACCATATTAAAATGGTGCAAAATTATAAGCCCAGTCCCATAAACTTACGGAGGAAATGCTATATGGCAGCCAGGGTGCAAACTGCAGAAAGTGGGTGAATAATGCAAGATCTTTGGCAATGCATCAGCAGCAAAATTTATGCCTTCAGAATATCTTGCCAACACATTTGGGTTGAAATAATTTCATTTCAGATATTCGCCAGTCCTTGGCCAACTATTTAGAAAATAGTTGAAAATCTGAAAGACTGCAAGCACACAAAGGAAGGTTTCTGGCACATTGGATGGATCAGGATACAGTGAAGCTTTTGTCCAGAAATCAGTTGCAATGAGTGTAAGTGTTGCACTGCGTGGAGAGTGAGGAATACACTATCAACGTTGCTTGCAGCATTTTCTTATTAAAAATTACATGGCAATACATCTTGAAATGGCCAGGAACATATTGGGCTAAATGACATAGGGTAAACGCAGTATATTCCGACATCGTGGGTAATTCCGACACCTCAACTTTTTTCCTTTATATTAAGCTTTGTCTTAGTTCCACGCATTCATTGATGGTTGAAATAGTGATGTCATACTATTGCACGCCATACTATTGCCAAAACACTAGGTCTGGGCCATCTGGCGGGAAAATGTTAAGATCCAAAGAGACAGTGCACATCACCCAGTGAGAACATCGAAAAACATTTCGAAGTTGATAGTTGACCTTGCTCTACCAAACAGTGATCAACTGTTTGTGTATAAAAATATTATGGTTTGAGACTTTTAAATAAGTCTGTGAACATATTAGGAATCCTTTAAGTATACTTGTATTTGCTGATTTCAAGTTGTAAATAAATTAATAGATGATTAAGTTAAAAGACGGTTATAGACACATAAAAGCTAATTCCAACACAGCTTGGAATTAGACACACACAGCTCGTTCCGAGCTGTGTGTAAAAATTAAAATTTTTGTAATTAAAAGCTTAATAGCTCTTAATTAAAAGCCTAATTAAGTAGAGTTCAATATTCAATTGTGTTCTAATTCTGAGCTATGTTGTATTCCAATACAGCTCACAGTGACTCACACAGCGATTGAAATTTGAACACAAGAGTGTCGGAATTATGAATTAGTAGAGTTTGAAGCGCGGCCAGAATTAGTCTTACAAAATGCCAAATTTAGTCCCACACAGCATCGGATGATTGGAATATAGGGATTTGGTAGGTTTGCATTCTAAAAGCTTTTAAATAAATATGGCAACATTTTGTGACGTTTCATTGTTGCTGGCTCATAGTGCAGTGTTTTGAGAGTGACGTAAAGCAAACAGAACTCGAGTTGCACATACGGTGATTTTTTTATAGCCATTCATTTTTTGCTACGTCCTTAATGTGTCGCAGTACCTATACCGCGTTTACCCTATCTTGGCGACAGGCCGACACCGCTTGCAAACTCTGCACCCTGGTAAAACAGTGGTATGACTGCTGATAATAATCAGCCTGATATGAAGCTTGCAGTGGACAATAGGTTGTTGTCAAATGTCAATGTCATCATGGCATGGAAGTTTTTTTTTAGTTTTTTTTTAAAGTGTTAGGCTGTTAGCCTAGGTATAGAAAAGAAATATAGTTTTAGTTACCTAATAAAAATTGATCCAGTAATCAGGTAATATCATCAATAATGGAAAAACAAGTATCATCACAAGTACAAAACAAGTATCATTTATGCAATGCTTCATCTACAAATTAGGTATGAGGACTTTGGAGTACTGTTACTGTTACTGTTAGTAATGGATGAGTAGCTACATTCTGGCTCTGCTGCCTCTGCATGCTTCAAACATTTGAAAATTTAATTTTATTTCAAGTGTCCCAAATCTAATTGGTTCCAGCTTTTTTGGGAGTAATTTGGGATGCTTATTTTCAGCTTCTGGCACCTTACAAATAGCATATGGATTTTTTTGGAGATGGTGTTTGATGGCCCTTGCAATTTTGCAAAGATCTTTATTCTTTAAAATGAGCCCAAACTTGTTTATGAAATTGAAATGTTTAATGGTAAGCAGTTATCAACAAAAAAAAAAACATAAAAATTGTCCCTTATTTGCCTAAAAGTTAATACGACGTTTGATGCAAAATGATGGATTGATGGTTAGCCTAGAATCTATATCACATCATCACTACCATATTGGCATATGGGAGGCTATTGGGAGCCTTAGGTACTAGCCCTAGTGCAATTTTGTGTCATCCCTCAAGTTTTCACAATAGAAAAATATCACACTGAATAAAATTGAATGAAGCAATTTTGGAATGCCGGGTTGAAAAAGAGCTGGTTGACCGTTGATTCCCATTTCCCCATACAGAAGGCACCGCAAGTCGGCCATGTCCTTTCCTTTCAACGTCTCCAAGGTTTCTATGCGTAACAGCTGAAGTGGTTGGAGTAACCAACCTTCCGTTTTTTATATTTCGTTCAGGAATTTTTCATGTGACTGTTTCTTGCAAATCAGTTCACACTTTAATTCAAGGTTTGAAACATAATTCCATCAGTCGTCGAAGCGGGGGTTTAGTGATAAACCTATTAGTTCATGAGCACATGCTACGTAAATAACTTGGTGCATCCTTTTAAAAAACGAACATTATTCAGCAAGGTTTAGCATTTTTTATTATTACGAAACAAATCAACGTTGAAGCAGATTTTTAGATTATCGCAGAAATTTTATAAAATGAGTGTACACGAGAATTTTTTATTCACACAACTTCAGTTAGAATGTTTTATACATTTTTTTTCAAATTCTATATTAAGGACAGATTGAAACTTGTTATTCACTCCGCTAGAGTTGCACTGCCGCATTTGGCAGTTTATTTTTGGCATTTGTGGCTGATCAAGTCATCCGCTGGCCTCTGTGATAGGTACGTCGCTGCAAAAGGAACGACTGAAAACTTCGTACCCTTCGTTGCTGTTTTGTTCACATCAAATCGATCATGCAGGTGAGGTAAATTTTGTTGTGCGTGTTTTAAAATTATATCCACACGATGCACAAGGTAAGTAAGATGGTTTCGATTGTTAATATTCTATGTTTGTGTTAACATGCTTCCAGTTACTGATAGAGGTACGGTATCTCATCGTTTTCAGGCAATTTAACATGTTCTCGTGCCACACGCACATCTGGTTGTTTCAAGTAGCCTATTTCCTGTGAAACAGGATTATTACTTCCTTAATCACCCGTGTTTGGGCCGTGTATTTGCATAAATGCGTCTGATATTCCTATAATCTATATGGCCTTTTGGTTGGCTTGTTGGAACTTGGAACATTAGAAATTCTGTTTCAGAAGTTTTATTTCTTTGTGTTTACTCCTATTTCCTAGCCATGTATCTATGAGTTTTGATTGTTTCAGGATCCAAATGAAGACACTGAATGGAACGACTTGCTTCGTGCCAAGGGTATTCTTCCTGCAAAGGAGCCAGAGGTTACTGAAGAGGCCCTAACCGAAATGATTGAGCAAACTATTCAAGAAAAACAAAGCCTTGGTGAGATCAAGAATTTCAATCAGCAGATTTAGTCTAATTCAGTAGGTAATTCAATTGGATTGCCAAATCATCTTTTTCTGGACAAAGTCAGCAATTATGTAAAAAAAAATGAAAAATATCTTTTTACACCAGAACCTACAAATGTACTAGAATATATTAAGTTCAAGGCCTTTTTTGACTGTGGACTTGGCAGTTTTTTTTTAGACCATCTTTCAACCCTGAATTGAATGCAATCACTCCACGGTGTACAATCCCTATTCCTAATCCTTTCCATGCCTGCATTAATGAAACTCCTATCCTATCTGTTAGACTGTATATTATAGTACTAGTACAGCATCCAATTCCAAGTAGAGAAATTGGTGTACAAGATTTGATGTAAAAATTTTGTTCCTCTGCTTCTGCATGTTTAAAATAAAAAGAAACTATTTGTACAAATTAGTGTATATATCATGTATGAAATGTTTATGGTAGTATATACCTTGCTCTAGGGGCTAAATTAAGTTATTTTGCACAATATTGCATCATCATAATATGGTTAAAAATTAATATAAGCAAGCAATGCTACGTAGCTCATTTACGCATTTAGCAATTGTAGTATCTTGTTATAAGATCAATTTTAATGGGATATATAATATAAATATTATATGTGCCAGCTGACCATCACTGGCTTGCTACACAAGTTAGTGAAAAAAATTAATTATTGTCTTCATCAGGCTTCATGAAAGTGGCAATGTTCTTCTGAAATAGATGTACTGGTAACTTTAACAATTACAAGTAATTCTGTTTGACACTCAAAATTATATTTTTGATGGCAGATGCACGACTAGGAAACCTGTCATTGGAAGGACTGGCCGAAATTGAAGATGATGAAGACGAGGCTATTATCTTAGAGTTCAGAAGGCGCAGGCTTGAGGAAATGAAGAAAGAAGCTGAAAGTTCCAAGTTTGGAGAAGTAGGTATATTTTGCTCTATGAACTAGATTGAATGCATGGAATTTTCCATGTTTTTAACTTAATATATGTTGCATTTACCTAAACCCCAAAACCTAGTGATGGAGTAAACATTCTTCTTTCACAATTCCGATTGAATTTTATATTTTCTAAATCATCTATCATTAGAATTAGATTCCAATGAATTTTAAAGCAGAGATATTCCTTGTCGTTTGAGATATTTATTTGGGTTTGCATTTTGAGTCATTTTAAAACATTCATAGTCTGTTCAAACACAATGGTGTACAAATTATATTTTGTAAGCCATCACAGTTTCATTTGATTGGTGAAGTGGGTCGATCAAAATTGCCTGTGATGTAAATTAACTTCACAACCATTATCCAATTGAACCTCTTCATTCTCAACCTATTATGTTTGGTTCTCTCTCTTGTGTGCCCACTGCCCAAATGAGAAAAGCAATTTAAAGTAAATAGCTTATGTTTGAGATATATCAGTCAACAATGCTTGAATATAAACCAAGATCATGTATAAATATGACCAAATGCTTCTTCTATAGAGATTTTTGTAATAAATAATGTGCAAATTTGACAGGTTATCGAGATAAGTGGAGTAGATTACATCAACCAAGTAAACAAAGCTGGCACTGGCATTTATGTCTTCCTTCACCTCTACAAGCCTGGCATCCCGCAGTGTACTCTCATCAACCAGCATTTCACTATACTAGCTGCAAAGTTTCCCAAGGTGTCTGCTTAACTGCTGCACCTGCTGAAATAGTATATATTTCATAGCATTAGGATGGACTCAATGCACTTGTAATCCTCCAATTAGTTGATAATAATACGGTTTTTATAGCTGCAATTGTACTTTCTAGGTTAAATTCATCAAGTCCATCTCAACAACATGCATCCCCAACTTTCCTGATCGTAACTTGCCAGCAATCTTCGTCTACTTTGAAGGAGCCGCCAAGAAACAGTTCATTGGACCACAAGAATTTTCTGATAGAATATCGTGTGACGGTAAGATTCTATGCTTCTTGGTCTATATAATTCTTGTATTTTTTGTTTATTGCTTTAGTTTTATCCCAGTTTAATTATGATCATATTCGTCATTGTCTTTATTACGATCTTCGTGCTTCATTGTGCTTTCTCTTCAACATTAATTGTAAATAATTGTAATATACTAACTATCAGTTTTCATTATTCGTTATGTTTACCTTGGAATCGTTTAACCTCGTGTAAAATATTATCCCTGTAACATGCAAAATCTGCAAGTATTATTAATATGGACAGTACCCAATCTTAATAAAAAAAATGTTCAACGTAGCGAGATAAGGCATAAAGTAAAAGAACATGGACGCCGACGCTAATAAAAATTATGATAATGATGTTCTTCAGAAACACATGCAACTCATACTATAAGGTTGAAATATGATCTAAAACCATTTTTCTTATGGGCAACTATCGTCAGTTTGGAAAAGATCCGGTCAAATGACATGTTTTTAGATCTCATGTGGACAAGTCACGAAAAGTACAAGAATCGGCGACAGGCCACATCAGGCATATTCTTCAGCGCCGACATCACTATGATATCGTCATAGTTTGTGAACGTATTCTTCATATAGTACCTAATGATGATCAGTGTTCTTATTTAGGCTATCAATAATAGTGCAGAAGTGTTGCAATGTCTCTGCCATTTCAGAACTGGAATGGATGCTGTCCAAGACTGGAGGCATCAAGACAGACCTTGAGTCTGATCCTCGCGGGGCGAAAGTTCGTGATGTCTTCATGAGCTCCTTAGGCAACGCACGCACGGCTGACAGCGGCGATAGCGACGAAGGCGACTGGTAGCAGTGGCTTTGAAAACATATTCTCATGTGTTTATATCAAACTCAACATGACTCTGTTCATTATGAGAAAATTATGAACACGAGTTTTTATTACTTACAAATAGCATTTGATTGTTCCAATTTCTCACCGTTTGAATTGGTTATCGTGAACTACCGCCCCAAGATTAATGCCCAATAGAAATAAGAGGCTCCTTTTACATTTCTTTCAACTCGTTTTTCATTTAATGGCGAGAGAAAGATCATGTTCGAAATTGTGATGCCTACATTTTTTTGTGGTTGCGCAAGACTAATTTTGATGCTGAAATTAAAAAAAAAATGTTGTGTCAAAAGAAAAGTTTCGGGGCATTGGATTAGTTGTTTATCGAGAACTACTGAGCACTTACAAGTTACTATTTAATCTGAAACCTCTCACAATTGGATAACAATCCGCTGCATATTAGCCACGAGTTATGACGGTGTGTATATGCAGCAGAAGATATTTTTTTTAATTTGATTAAAGTGTGAATTTATTTTATTTTATAGTGCCTAACATAACAACGTCCGACTCCTGCTCGCCGTTTTTATTTGACATCTTTTATAAATGTTATCGACTATTCATGGCTCTTGTCTCAACGTCCATGCTAACATTTGGCCACGAGCATCTTTTTTTCTGAGAGAACTTGCTTACAAACAATTCATTAAGTCAGATCCGTTGACAGGGTAAAATTTTGTCCTACAATGCCTTAAACTAACAATCCAGGTTGTTATTATGTAGAGTAGAATGTGTGTTTAATTTCTGTTGCTTGTTTTTACTGATCTACTATTTATACGTTGCAAATCATGACGTCTCATTATTTCCTTTAATTGATATTATAGAATTCTCTGAGCAATAAATAAAATCTATCTTTCGAAAAAGTGATTGGTGTAATTCAGCCTTGCGCACTTCACAGAGTTGATTTGATCGTCTGTGGCGCAAAAGAGACAGCCGTGTATTATCGCGTAAATCAAAACCTGAAAAGTTCGACTGTCCTGAGAGTATTTTGACAAACATCGAGGACAGTGCAATGAAATCCGCGACCATCGAAGGAAATCGAGTGAAAGATCATATTTATTAACACTATATTGCCTATAGTGTTGAGAAATTTTTCGGCGCCAAGACCGTTTCTTGTTATGTTTCGTTTTATGCAGTCATCATTCGCAAGAGTAAAATTAATCTACAACTAAATTTATTTATGCATTTTTCATTAAATTCTCAACATGCCAACAAAACTTTTATTGCTCGTTTAAAAAAACATTGACCAAGACTGCACAATTTTATAGTCGTTGATAGCATCGAATATTTAAGGAGTGAGATTCCATCAATTACTTGGTGAGTGAAAGAGTTTTGTACGTGGTTGAGGATTTATTTGAGAATTTAATTTCTTCTCTCCAGTGTTATTGCCGCGTGTATATTTGAGCGCGCTGTTTTTCGAAAACTTTACGTTACTACTAAAATACTCCGTGCATAGCAACGGACTATCTTCAACTTCAAAAACTTTAACAATAAGTAAAAACATACGTTTAAACTCTTTGATATCGGATACATTTACATCGTCGTTACTATTCGTACCTAACGTGGCTTTTGACCGGGAAGTCGCGTGGTAATTAAAGCTGGTAAACTGACAATTGTCAGTTGAAAAAGGAAAAATTCAGGTTGAAAATGTAAGGAAGAAAAACTTTTTTATGATTCTGACATTGTTATTGCTATTAAATTGCTCGTGTTAGATGATTGACTAGCAAGCGGCTGGTTATTTCAACTAAAAAAGGATCCCCAACCTAAGCGCAAATACATTGAAATGAGAAACAGGCATGGAATTTAAATTAAATTAAAACATATGAGAGCACAGAGAAGCAGTAATCTAGATCTAATGTTCTATCGCACCGAGTATGAAATTAGATTGACATACATTTGAAAATAAATACTCTAAATGCAACAATCCGTTAAATTTTATAAGGAAAAATGAAAAAGACCGCCACAAAGGGTTACTCTAGTTTCGTGGGCAGGAAGATTCCAGTTAGTCAACTTGGCAGAAATTCTTTTTTATACTTTGATCCACGTCGATTGGGTAAATAGATGTGAATGAGAAGAGCAAACTAAAATTTACCGTAAATCGAAGAATCAACCAACGGAAAATTAAATTGTTTAAATTTAATCATTCTCCAGTTCCGTTACGCTGAAATTGCAGCTAAGGCTTTCTTCATCGACAAGGTCAAATTCTTCTCGCCCGACCATCGAAACCTTCTGTTGCGTTTCGTCGGGACTCGAGAAGTTAAAAAGATCGTCGGCACCATCAAACCACTCCATAATTCTCATCCCTGTTGTAGAATTCGATTCATTTACACACAAATGAAAGTCTTCAGGTTCTTGCGGCACCAATGATAGAAAATTATCATTATTTTCCCTTCTGTAATTTTGTTGTATCCATCGGCCATCCTTTTGTAATCCGTACAGTACGCCATCTTGAATTTCTTCCATTGCACCTTGCTCATTGATCAGATATTGAAGAGCTCCTTTCTTGAATAGAATTAGCTTCCCTTCGAAATGAATTTCAATGACATCACCATTTTGATTGAAAGTCATATTTAAGTGTCTATTCAAAGTTTCTTGTAGGCATGCCGAGTCTACACGATACTTTTCACTATTATTCATTTCTACACTCGTGACGTCATATCGAGTGAATGACGAGAGTCGTTGTTGGATCTTTTCAATGAGGAACTTCTTGCCTCTCTTGAGTATCAGGCGTCCTCGATCAGATTTACACGCTATTACGATTTCGTCTATTATCTTACGGGTGGTTGTTGACAGTGCATTACCCGATATCGTGCTTTGAACAGCTTCACCGGCAGTTAAGGTACATTTAGCCATACTTTTCACCTGAATAACGTTGACAATCTTTCCAGCAAAATGTCCGGTCGCACCATCAATCATCACTCCCCCAACAGCGTCACACCACTTGCCCGGATTCTTCGGATCACTTAGTGGTTCGAGGATACCATACGGCAGAAATTTACTGTGCATACCGGTATCTACCGCAGTAATTGTAGAATCCATGAAAGCTCCTGCACCGATACCACCAGCAACGGCCCCTACGGGACCTCCTAGCAGGAAGCCTCCAACTCCTCCTCCTATGACAGCTGTGGTGTGAGATGCGGCCTTCATTGCAGCGTCGCCCTTCTCTTTATCTTTCATGGCGTAATGAAATGCTCCTTTCAAGTGTCCTGCCACAGGTACTCCATCTACAAGGGACCCGATGAACTTTCCAAACTCTTTCTGTGTTTCTCTGGCAGCTTGTGTGTCACCTTTTGCTACTTCCACAGCAGATCTAATTTGGGAAACGACGGGGCATTGTCTGGAGAAGTTAACTTGCGTCCGTTTGGCTCCTTCCGGGTCACGACACACCCACTGAACAACCGACTTAGTTTGTGACAAGACAGGTAGTGCATCCATTGTGTCCGAAATATTGTGATGTTTTTATTCACTAATTATTCGGTATAATATTTTTACTGTAAATGGTTATGTCGATACATTTCATATTTAAGCTCCATGAATATTATCAATTTTTGATAGATATCAGTACACAAACATGATTTGAATCAATGTCAATCTACCGTACACATGTAGACCAACAAATGTCGAATGATACTTGATCGAGCGAATGCAATTGAAATCCAAATGATCCTCTACAGGAATCAGAAACGTTCAACTTTACAGAAGCATTACCAGGTAGTCTTGCTCAGATACACAAGTCAGCCGAGCACTGAGCCAGAACGATGTGTCCAGCTCACCTGAGTTCGTGATCGAGCGTGCAGCAACATCGGAGAATTTCATGACGCCACAGGCACCGCGGCCAATCGCTGAGCTGCAGCATACATCGCTTGTAGTCCACCTATTGATTCAGAAACACCGAGCCATCCGTATGTAAAAAAATTATTAAAACGATTGTATAACATCCATTTCAATTTTTGGCATATCTATTGTGAAGGAATAACTATTTCAGGGAGAGACAATCTGAGAGAAAAACAAAATTTGCAGAACGAGGCAGAGCCAAAAAGAATCATGCAACATGAATGACATTACGTACAAATAAACTATTCTGTACCAAACAACCATACTAATTCTAAGAACTGTGTCTGCACTGTTTTACATCTTAGGAATCTTAAATTATTAAATTTGGAAACGTAGAAGAAACCATTGCGAAACACCCACAAAGAATTAACTGAAGCAAACGAGCCCTATGAAATATATATTGTTCGCAAATCAAGTTTACCCTAACGCATCTCGTGAGTAAATCATTTTAATTCGTTTAACCTCTTTGAGTATCGAGAAAGTCGTATAAAAAACGTTATGGATTCGGTTGGTGATTGTGGTCGCATTTTAAAAGTAACCTGATGAACAGAGTTCGCTCTTCGCTGTAACCAGCGGAGATGAGTATGTTTTCACTACCAAACGCAGATGAACTATGGCTGAGTTCACACCACACTGCCGGGTACGTGCCAGGCATATGCCAGTCACGGTTGAGTCCAATATTCTTAAACACGTTGACCCTGAAGTGGTACATATGAGTACCACGAAATGTATTTCTCCAGGACGTAGTGGTGCATAATAAACATGGTTTCCAGATGGTGTAAAAAATGACAAGTCCGCGAACAAAAATGGCCAAAAAGGGCACATGACTTAGTATATTTGTAGGTTCAGGTGAAAAAATTCCATTTCTCTTTTTTGTAGTTTTAAATTTAATTAGGAAGTACTCCAATCATAAATTTTAGCCGGCCAGCGCAATTAAAAAAAAAACTAAATCGCGGAATTTGTCCGGAAAAATATCCATTACAAGACCAGCAATTTGTTCGTGAAGCTTACAAGCAAATCTAAAAAGAAGTTCATAGCCTATAATTACAGAAGAGTTTTGAATGGACTACGATTTTCAGCGATGAACAGGTCATTTATATCTTCAAATAAAGAGAAAGCGGTTTTTATTGTTGGGAGGGGGAGGTGTTCGTAAATGCGCACGATGTTAGCAAAATAGACACAAAAGCTGTGAAGGCATGAAATGCGAGATGTGCCTGTAGTATAAATCTGAAGGTATAGGGTGATTCACGGAAACTTCCTGTTTTGTATGTCGCACCAAGTAGTCAGATGTAGGAAATGGACGATGATCATTTAAGAAAAAAAGGCAAGCTCATGAAATTTTGTGTCCCGCTTGGTCAGTTGCCACTATGCCTTGGACAAGTAAGCAGCGTGCGTTTGCCGTCGAGGCGTACTTCTTCTAATGGCGGTTTAGCAGAGTTGTCTCCGTCGGGGACAACATTTTGCTCCCACTTTCTGGGACAACTTTACTGAATAAAAATTTATTACTAGATATGTGTAAAATGATTGACTAATATTGCTCCGCTGATTTAAAAAAAATAACAACTGCTTTACCGTCTCACGTTAGGATATTACATTTACAGAGATGCTCCCATTGCCTTTAAGTCAGGATTTCAATGGAATACAAAATCATTTATTCCTTTATTTCAGTATGAATACTCCAAAATTATCGAAAGTAATGAAAAACCATACTAGAATTAAAAATGCTTCAAGCTTATTGCTTTGCATTTCTTGCTGCTCTGTATCAGTATCATATCGCTTTGTATATCATTGCTCTGCTCTGTATCAGTGCTGCACGATGCAGGAATCAGCACAAGTCGCCCATCACGTTCGGGTTTTGACGCTCCTTGCAGCGCGCCTCCACGAGTGAGATCTTTTTTGTGGAATTACTGGCTCTGCTCGTCCTTGACAGCTCTCAAGTTGTCACGGAAAAAGTTCAGATGCTGGTGTATATAGGGACATCTTGAAGCCAAAGTCGCGAAAAAGTAGACATATAGTATGAACCGAATCAGCCATTGACAATAGCAACATGGTAATATAATTTTCAATTATATTGGAAGGGACGTTTTTGCAACTGATTCTCACATTTATTAATAGGATTGCATTTACTTAACGATTATCATCAATTATGCGTCATTGCAATTATTGCAATAGTTTTACTAATGCCTTTAATTAACGGTGTTTCATAATTAAACAAATCCATATGCCTGAAGCCATCTCGGGATTTCTGGTGTGGATAGAGCTCGTATTTTTTTAATGGAATTGCATTTCAGAAAATTTCGCGTTATATTATATTGGGATATACAATATAACACGTGTTATACTGTATTCGAATCTTCCTTGTATTGGGAAGATTCGTTATTTATCCTAGACATGGAAACACTTTATCCCAGCAATCCGTTACATTCAACATGCTGACAAAATAGCTCCTCGACTGCAAAATGCATCCCTTTGTGTTTTTCATATTCTGTAGAATGAGAATTTTCTCCTTCCTTGCTAAACAAAAGCTTGTTAGTGGAAGAATCATAAGTACAGCTGATGCCGACTGCCGTGGAGACGTATCACCGCTTTCAAACCACGCCTCAGAGTCACCGTCATTGAAGCTACCCGTGATTTGGCGCCCCCAGACGGATTCGAACGATCTCCACTAGTTGCTTCATTGAAGAAACTGACTTTGTCCAGCAAGTGATATGTGAACCCATTTTTTATTTTCTCCAAGACTCCTTAGTCATTTATAAAGTACTTGCATCCGCAATAGTTAATCAAAACAATTTTTCCTAATAATACTCAAATGTTCATTAAAATTGCATTCAATGAAAATAAAAATAATAATAAAAAATAACTACAAACGAGACGATCAGTAGCGCACGTTTTTAACGCAAAGCAAAGTAAAATAACTTTAAACCTTGCGTTAAAATTTGTCACAGCAACAGTTAGAGAAAACAACTTATGTACCATTAGCTAAAAATTTGTTACTAGACTGCAACTCGATAATTAAACAGAAACAACTACAAAGAATTATTTTATTAGGAGAGTCCAGGTATTTGCACCGAAAAAGCAGTGTACTAACAAGATCAAGAAAACTCCATTCAAGAAAACTCCATAATAACTTTCACTAGCACAAAAACAATGCATTAAAAATGTTTTAATTCAAACAAATAAAACGAGAAAAATAGGCAATGAACAACAACAATATCGTCAATGAGGAGCGAGTACATACGGCAAAGAATATATAACTGATAAAAACAACAATTTAGGCACTAAGTAGGGTATTGTTAGCAGCATTTTGCACTAAGCTACTTGGACCTTGGCAGTCATATTGTGGCAAATAATGTCAGGGATTGAGCCTCTGTAAAAAAAATCAACATGTAACATGAAAAATTACGAGTTTCTTCTGCATTGATCAAGTTATAAATAAATTTTAAACATTCTTTGCAAAATTGACGTCTACATTTTTTATTTATCAAGCCGCAGAAATCAAGACAATTGTCTAAATCAAACAAAAAACCTAATTTTTTCGCAAAGAGTTGAACAAAAAAAGTGTAGCTGCGACTGCTGCATAGAATATCGTGAAAAATAGATGATCAGAGGAAACTTGATTCCGGTATATGACATATAATATACATATGAATTCACGTTAAAATAAGCTTTGGAAGCCATTCCTCTCTAATAAATATTTTATTATAATTTCAGGGATATAATCCATTTGAAATCAAACTCATGCCTTTAACATGTTTTTTTAGCTAAACATATAAAATATTTCGGAAGCCTTTTTGATTTCTGAGGTGAATTGTACTTGCACCTTTTCCCAAAACAGATACCTTTTTGGTAATTTCAACATGGAAAAGTTCATTATGAATGTTCTGAACATGGAAAAGTTCATTATTAATCCTTAACATAAAATCTTATTGTCAAGAAGTTCGTTTCATTAAGCAAGCTGAAGGGATCGGTTCTCGACAGCCAAATGCAGGCTCCTGTGTTCTTCATCTTCAGTGGAATGAGAATCTTGTACATTATTGCTCCACACGAGCCTGTGAGTGGAGGAATCATAAGTGCAACTGATGCCGTGCTGCAGTGGAAGTGAGTCGCTGCTATCAAACCACACCTCAGAGTCACCATTATTGAGGCTACCAGTAGAATTGTGGTGCGAAGGCCTATCTAAACAATTCACACTCGTTGCTTCTTTGGCGAAAGAGCCATTGTCAAGTAAGCGGTATGTGTACCCATCCTCGATCTGCTCCATGCCTCTGTCAGTGATAATGTACTTGGCTTCTTCATTGTGAATGGCCACAAGTTTTTCTTTGTGGTATACTTCCAAGACACTGCCATTTAGCTTAAATGACACTTTGGCTTCCTCAGCACAAGCATCTTCCAAAATTTTGTCAACCTTTTCTACCTCATCATCTTCCATTTCGTTAAGAGAGCGTTGGTCCTCATAAACAGGAACATTCAGTAACTTTTTTTCCACATACTGTTGACCAACTTTCATCACTTTAAAAAATATTTTTCCCGATGCTGCTTTCAACGCCAATACTGTACGACTTCCAATATAAGGAAGAGGTCTGGGAATAGCTTTTTCCTGAATCACAGTATCAACAATGCTACTATCTGTCACAGCACCGCCTTTAGACATTTGTTTTAGCTGAATTTGTTT